GAATGGTGAAGAGGAATCAAGTAATAAAGAATCAGAAAGTGAAGAGTCAGAAGACAAAGAATCAGAAAGTGAAGAGTTAGATGAAGAAATCCGAGCAAGCTCATCTAAAGCACCTCTTACTCGACGTGGTCGTCCAAGGTTAAATGCTGGTAGCATTAATAAGCAAAAAGAACGAGATTCTTTTCGTGGGCGTGGAAGTGGTCACGGACATAGGTGTGGAAGTGGTCGCGGACATGGACGTGGACGTGGGCAGAAAAGCAAGGGCCGACATGGTACTGGTTGTCCTTATATAATTCCGGATCCTTCTAATATTCATTTAACAAATATCCGAATTGAAGTTTTACCACCCAAAACTACTGCTTACCTTCAGCCGATGGATGCAGGGATTATCTATAGCTTTAAAGTGAAATATAAAAAAAAATATTTACAACATGTAATAGATCAGTTCGAAAGAGGCGAAGATTTAAAAACGTAAGAATATACCCATTTGCCACTGTATACTGCACGTACCCGATGTGATGCAATCTTTTACTTGGAAAAATAACAATCATATGCATTACACATCACACATATATAGTACTGTATTTGGCAGCAAACGGGTAATAAAAATAAAATATTATTTCATATTTGCTCTTTTTATGTACTGTATGTACAATTGCATAAATGGGTGTATATTACCAATTATAGTGTGAAGGGAAAATTTTAAAGTATGTACATACGTACTTTGTATTTATGATAGAAAGTTTAATTATTTGGGACAATTCATAGCGGGTTTACTATCGAATAGATCTTTATACATACACCCATTTATGTTAGCGTTAGTGTTGCGGGTTAAGTTTTTTCTATGTAATTTAGTTTAGCTCATGACTAAATATGGCCATCATGCACTTATCAGTGTGAGATGCTTAATTATCACATATTTTAACTTAGATTCGTTGTGATTTTCATATCATTAGCTTAAGCGCTCTTACCGATAAGTGCATGATTCCCATCTCTACTCACGATGCTGATTTCTAATTTTTAATTTAGTTGATTTCCTTGTTTTTTTATAAAAAAAATTTACTGAAACTTTTTTTTTTGTACAGAAATAAACTTAATATCAGGGAGGCGATATACTATGTTGCAGAATCATGGGATGAAGTTGAAGAATCAACCATCGTGAATTGCTGAAAAAAAACAGGAATTCTTCCCTTATTATCAGATAGTGAAATTGATGATTCCACTTTTGCTGTTCAAGATTTAACAAATTTAGAAAAGAATGATGTTGATGAATTAATCGTAGATCTAACAACAAATCTGTCAGATCCGACGATCGAACTCCAGATAAATAAATTCGACCATACGAATGATTCTCAAATCCTTACTGAAGATGTTCTTGATGATGAAGAAATCGTGAGCATTGTGTTGGATGAACAACGGGAATTCGAAGAGGGTGATGCTAGTGATACTGACGAAGAACCACCCGAAATTCCTATTATAGAAGGCTTAAATG